TGTGGGAGAAGATAAAGGGGTGGATGGAAAAACTTCTCTCATCGGCGGGGAAGGAAGTCCTGATCAAGTCAGTAGCTCAGGCGATTCCGGTATTTTCAATGTCTTGCTTCAGATTACCCCGAGGGCTTTGTGACAATATTACATCCACCATTCGACAGTTCTTTTGGGGTTCTAAGCGAGGACATAGGAAGCCAAGTTGGGTAGCATGGGATATTCTAACAATGCCAAAGCACTTGGGAGGGCTAGGGTTTAGAGATTTGGAGATTTTTAACCTAGCACTCCTGGCTAGGCAAGCTTGGAGGACATTAACAGATAGTTCCTCACTTAGTGCAAGGATTTCTAAAGCTGTCTACTTCCCGAACTGTAATTTGCTGCAGGCTGAACTGGGAGCTCATCCATCCCAAATTTGGCGGGCTGTTTTGGACGGAAGGGACATTTTGTCTCAAGGGCTCATACGTAGAATTGGGGATGGAGAATCCGTGAGTATATGGCACGACAACTGGATCCCGAGGGACAGTTTTAAGCGCCCGATCACCTCGCTTCAACATAACCCGCCTGAGAGAGTGGCAGAACTCATTAACGCTTCATCAGCAAGTTGGAACAAGGGCCTGGTCCGGGCAGTTTTCACTCATTTTGATGCAGAAGCTATACTCAAAATTCCTTTGTGCACGCGAAGGGTGGCAGATTTTTGGGCATGGCATGAGGAAATCAGGGGTGGCTGTGAGATCGGCATATCGCATGATCCTACGAACGAAGCAAAGCAGAGAGGCGTGGATGTACGAGGAGGGGGGAACGTCGTACGATCGCAGCGAGACAAGCAAGTGGGCAATGATATGGCATCTCAAAGTTCCCTCAAAACTGAAGATGTTCGTGTGGAGGCTGGTGCTGCAGTCTATGCCAACGGGAACGGTTCTGAAACACCGGAACATGGCGACAGAGGATACATGTTTGTTATGTGGAGCAGTTGATACATGGAAGCATGCTCTAATATCATGCCCGATGGTAGCAAGTATTTGGGCCTTGCCCCCTGATGATCTGATAGGAGGCATGCTTGAGCGGGCTGAAGAGACCCCGAAAGAGTGGCTCTTTGCTTTGTATGAATCTCTGAAACAGGATTTTTTTGATCGACTAGTTGTCACCCTATGGACAATCTGGAGAGTAAGGAGGAAAGCCATTTATGAGGATATTTTTCAATCACCCCAGTCGGTTGACGACTTCATATCAAACTACTTGGGTGAGCTGCGGTTCATTAATACCAATTTAACAACACAGCCTACACCTGCAGTTCGAAGATCTTCTAGCTGGGTAGCACCGACGGCTGGCAATGCCAAAATTAATGTCGATGCAGCCGTTTCCAGGAGAGGAGGTGGCTCAGTTGGCGTTATTTGCAGGGACCAAGACGGAGGGTTTTTGGGAGTATCTTTGCTCTGTTTTCCGAATATTTCAGATCCTCCAACTCTCGAAGCCCTAGCCATTAGGGAATCTCTTGCTTTGGCAGATGACTTATATCTCAGACGAATTCAAGTCGCCTCCGATTGCAAGCCTGTGGTTGAAAGCTTACACAAGGAAAATCGGGCAAGCTATGGCGCAATAGTACATGAGATACTAGATCACTCTATAGCTTTTGAATTTTGCAATTTTAGTCATGAGTTTAGGAGCTTTAATTATGAAGCTCACAACATAGCGAAGCATGCGTTATCTCTCGGTGGTGGCCGCCATGTTTGGTTAGGCAACCCCGGGAATTTACCATCCGTCCCTATAAACATTATGACGAGTTAATAAAGCTTCACGACGTTGTCTCAAAGAAAAAAAGAGTAAGTGAGGCCTGAGAATTGGACCTGCCCTCATATTCTTCATGAATCTTGAACCCATTTTTTCCGCTTATCAAAATTCTGGGAGACAATCAAAAGAAATTGGTTGTATGCTTCCCTCGCCTAAAGATTTTCCATGCGCTTTACAGTATTTTGGTGGTCCATTTTCGTCCGCTCCTTTGTTTCGTTGCGTTTCGCTCATTCGTTTTGTTTTTTCCTCTTTATTTTTTTGTTTATTCACAAGTTTCTTTGGGGTTTTCACTCATTTTTTATTCTTTCATGGTTTTTTTCCTTTGTTTTTCTTAGTTTCTTTCTCATCTTTTACATGTTTTTTCTTTTTTCTCTTAATTTTCCTTCGTTTCTTTGTTTTTATTTTTCAATTTGTTGGCTTTCTTTGTTTTCCTTTGTACATTTTTCGTATGCATCAGGAACAGTTTTAGACACATGATTAACATTTTTAAATACATGATTAATACTTTTTTAATTTATATTGTCTTGATGTTTATTTTTTTCATACACATTGTACATTTGTTTATATATATCAGGTACAATTATTATATACATGTTTAAAATTTTGGAAATATATGGTTTACAATTATTTTAAACATATATTTTTATGTCCATTTTTCCATAAGCATTGTACATTTTTTATATACATCAGGACCATTTTGTGTATACAGGTTTAACATTTTCTAAATATATGACTAGTATCTTTTAAATACATGATTAACACATTTAACCTTTTTTATACATCAGGACGCCGTATACATCTCCGACAATGAGTAGTTCAAGCAACTCAACTAGCCAACCACCTCACCTACATTCCCTTTTCTTAAAGGAATGAAAGTAAATAGTCTATTTAACCCATCTCCTATACCACGTTTGCATAAAAACAAGTTAATTTAGTGACCGGGTTTTCCCGCACTTAAGTAGATATTTTACCAACTCATCTTGAGTTGGTGACACCATGTTTTGGAGAGGCAGGAGGGGGAGTTGATG